AGAAGCTCCGGGAGCTTGGTTGGGAGGTTCTTATGCATCCACCTTATAGTCCGCACCTGGCACCAAGTGATTACCACCTCCTGTCTATAGCAAATGATTTTGCTGGTGAAAAATTCGCCTCAAGAGAAGCTTGTGAAAATCGACTGTTCCAGTTTTTTGCCAATAGGGACAAGGGTTTCTATGAGAGAGGCATAATGGAATTACCTTCAAAATGGCAACAAGTTATCGAACAAAACGGTGCATATTTGACCTAAATCGGATCATTCTAACTATGCTAAATAAAGCCTTCAATTTCATGCAAAAATAATGGATTTCTTTTGACTACACCTTATATTACATCCATGTGATAAATTTTCTAACCTTATCAATGTATCATTTTAAATATTAATATCTCGCTTCGCAATAGAGAGCGACGATTTTATCAGAGGAAAAAGTTGTTTGGCATGCAAAAACGCGTCGATTGAGCCTATTTTCGTCGAAATCGGAGGCATTGCCGCTAAACTAAATAATTACCAAATTTAAATTGTTGTTGTTTCAAGCGGAAGAGATCTATTTATCAGCTTGTTTTAGATGGTACAAATTAGTACAAATTCTGATCGTTGTATTTATATCTTTGTTTTTCTTTTTTTATTTTATTTTTTACATGTGGTCCTGCTAGCTTAACGTTAAGCTAGCAGCGCCACGAGTTTTTTTAAAACGACAAGTGGTACAAAATATTTAATGGTGGTACAAATTAGTACAAAATAAGTACTAAATAACGCAAAAGGTCCGGCGTGATTCTGCTCATTTGGTCCTGCCAGCTTAACAGAGGTCATTACAAGTTATTAAGTTTGTATTTTTTAATAAAAATTCTAACTCTTATACCTGTCTGCCAAACTGTCAAAAAATATAAATATGGAAAATCGTTAATCTTGGAGCCTTGTAATTTTCATAATAATATTCCAATATTTAAGCGACAATTTTTTCCTTTATATCTCGAAATATGCCCTTTCAAAATCTGAAAACTTTTTTCGGTTATCTCTATTATCAAAAAAGGTATACATTGTTCAAACTATTACGGTAAAATGACGTTTCCTTTGCATGTGAGTAATTCTAATGTTTCAACACGTGTTTATTATGTGATATTTATTGTGAATTAATTCTAATTTT